ATCGGAAAACCATAATGTGAATTTGAAGTATCAACATTTAGATGGTGATTTAAAGATAGTAATTTACAGTGATGCCTCTTTCGGTAATCTCCAAAATGGAAGTAGTCAAGGTGGCCACATGATACTATTAGCTGGATCAAACGGAAAATTCAATCCTTTATCCTGGCAGTCTAAAAAAATTTGTTGTGTCGTCCGAAGTACTTTGGCTGCTGAAACTCTCTCTTTTTTCAGGTTTTCGGATGCTTTAAACTCACATTTCTAATAGAAGTAGGACCCTCTAACTTTGTAATCTAAGACAACTTTTGGTGAAGATTATGAATTTAGCATCACACTCATTGTCCGATGCATACTGTTCGTAAAATGTGAAACAAATGAACTATTCACTTTTATTTTCAGGATTTTCACAGCCTCTGGCAAAGTCACTGTTGTATACATAAACTGCAAAATTGGCATAGTTAATGTCAGTTTGTCTTATATCAATTTACAAAAGATTCTAAGTGGATGGGATACATGTATATAGGGTACTTTTCCAAATATTTAGTCTCGAAATTCAATGCACACTGAAAACGTACAAAATGTACCCATTTTCACCTTAAATTTTGACCTTGTGGGACAGAGGTTAAAATTCTGAAAAAGTTTGATAATAAAACTTCAAATACCCTACTATAACATACATTAAAGTCCATCTTGTGCATTTGATGGCTTATATTTTTAATTGGCACTTGAAATCTGTGCGGTGATGAAGTTTTAATGGCTGTTATCCAAATTGTTGACTTTTAAAATAACTTCTAAATGACCTATACTCCTCAAACATGTCTAATTAGAGTGACCTTTTTGCGTAAATTACAAATATGTAATCAATTTGGATGTACATTATATTTTCCTAATTTTATTTTGCCTCTAAAATGAACTATACACTTTTATTTTCAGGATTTCCACAGCCTCTGGCAAAGTCACTTTTGTATACAAAAACTCCAAAAATGGCATAGTTAATGTCAGTTTGTCTTGTATCAATTTACAAAAGATTCTAAGTGGATGGGATATATACTTTTCCAAATATTCAGTCTCGAAATTCATTGCACACTGAAAACGTACAATATATACCCATTTTCACCTTTAATTTTGCCCATGTGAAACAGAGGTTAAAATTCTGAAAAAGTTTGATAATAAAACTTCAAATACCCTACTGTAACATACATGTAAAATATTAAAGTCCATCTTGTGCATTTGATGGCTTATATTTTTAATTGGCACTTGAAATCTGCGTGGTGAAGAAGCTTTAATGGCTGTTATCCAAATTGTTGACTTTTCACTTTGATTTTAAAATAATTTCTAAATGACCTATATTCCTCAAACATGTTTTCCCCTGTGTTTGAAAGCAAAATTAAATTGAAACGATACTCCTTGTAGCCAAAATGGGTCTGTATTCTTATTTAGAAGTAATTTTAATCTGACTGTCAAAGCCCAATATTCCAATTTGTAAATGGGAATAACCATTTTTTATACACCCACATTTTCATGTGGACGTCTGTCCGTCCACATTTTGTTTGTGGACACTCTACAGGTCACAATTCTTATCCGATTATGACGAAACTTGAAATATAGGTTTATCTCCAAAAGATCCCGGTTGCTTTCGATATTGGCATGAATCGTCGAAACTTCATGGATTATGGCCAGTGGTTGTACGAAAAATCAAGTTTTTAACTTGTGGACCCTATAGAGGTCACAATTTTAATCCTATTTTAATGAAATTTGAATTGTAAGTTTATAACCCAAATATCTCTGTTCCTTTCGCTATTCGCGCATATCGGACCATAACTTCCTGAATTATGGCCCCTGATTGTACGAAAAATCGTGTTTTTAGCTTGTGGACCCTATAGAGGTCATAATTTTTATTCGATTTAAAAAATCGTTTTAGTATATCACTGTCATACCCTATGCATGGTTGAGTTGAATTTCGTGATAATCAGCCCAAAACTGACAGACAAAATGGCCGTCCCTCGTTCTCAAATAGCGTAAAAATATGGTATATCAATGTTGTGGACCCTATAGAGGTCACAATTTTAATCCGATTTTGCTGAATCTTGAAAGTCATGTTTATAACCCAAAGATCTCGGTTCCTTTCGATATTCGCACATATCGGACCGTAACTTCCTGAATTATGGCCCCTGATTGTACGACAAATCGCTTTTTGTTTAGCTTGCTCTCTATCCATCTCTTGCAAAATGTGGGCGTAAGCTGCCTGGCAGCTGCTGGTTTCTCTTTTGGGAGGCCAAATAAAAATTAGAACAATACAATGTAGATCCAAATTGATTGATTGCATATTCATAATCTATGCAAACATTTACTCTAAACAGACACGTTTGAAGGGTATAGGACATTTAGACGTAATTTTAAAATCAACATGAAAAGTCAACAATTTTGATAATAGCCATTAAAACTTCATCACCGCTCAGATTTCAAGTGCCAATTAAAAATATAAGCCATCAATTACACAAGATGGACTTTAATGTATGTTATAGTAGGGAAATTGAAGTTTCATTCACAAACTTTTTCCAGAATTTTAACCTCTGTCCCATATAGGCAAAATTGAAGGTGAAAATGGGTGTATTTTGTACGTTTTCAGTGTGCATTGAATTTCAAGACTGATTATTTGGAAAAGTATATATCCTATCGACTTAGAATTTTTTTGTAAATTGATGAAAGACAAACTGACATTAACTATGCCAATTTTGGAGGTTGTGTATGCAATAGTGACTTTGCCAGTGGTTGTTGAAATCCTGGGAAAAAAAGTGAATAGTTCATTTGTTCCACATTTTGCCACCTGGTGTGATGCTAAATTCATAATCTACACCAAAAGTTGTCTCCTATTAGAAATGTGAGTTTAAAGCACCTGAAAACCTGAAAAAATGTACAGAATTTATGATCCGTTTCAGTACCCTAATTTCAAATGGCCATATCTCAGCGAATTTTCGGCCTAGAGAGGTATAATTTTGGATTTGTTAGCCAAAGTCCATGTACTGTAACATATATTTTTTTATAATTTTTTTGGAGGGGGTCATGTTCCCAACTTTCCGAAATTTGGTCCACTTGACATGGAATGACCCTATAGCTACTCAGTGAATGGATCTGAGGCCCAGCCATAAGCTGGACATTTTATGAACTACTTGAAAAGCACAATAAAATATGTATGACTCATAAATTGAATGTCTCTATCTCACAAACAGATTGGCAGATTGTCTTACATTTTGGACGCATTAACACATTTAAAGAAGCTAATTCGTTAAAATTTTGGACCTAGGAATTGACACAAATGGGTCGCATTGCCTATAATAATGTATTACGAATGTATATAAATTGATTTACATTTAATCATTTCTAATCAGTATCTTTGGTGAATATGCCAGAATTCTCAATCGAATGGCAATCTCTAGCATCTGGTTATTCCAGTCTACACTGAAAGTATTTATTGTGCATCCTCTCCGGATAAGAATATGGCGTCAATGTTTGACATGACTTGTGGAATATGTCTAGCCTCGTTCTTCGAGTCCCTTGTTACAAATGGCTCTGAAACACAGTATGGTACACAATTCATGTACCAATGATAAAAATGTTTATTTTGTCTTAAATATTGGATATCAGAAGCCCATCTTTTCCAGGTAAAATCACAACATCACTGTTGATTTAAATTGATAAATAATTTGTGTTTTCAATGTCGAAGACTTTGGGTGATATTGAGTTAGAGACTTGGCTGAGGGCATAGATGTTAGGGTTAGAATGAACTAGTCAAATTTCTGTATACATGTACATGTAAGTTTGTATCCACAACATGGTTTGATTGAAATAGCTGAACTTTATGCAATTGCAATCAAAATATATTAATTGCACAGGGAGCTGACATTTCTCGCTATACTAGTTAAAAACTAGATATTGGAAAGGGAATATCTTGAAAATTTCAGTCAAATTACTTCACTCCCAATAGTGTTCAAATCCGTTGATAATCTTGAGTATTCGATAGCATGAAGAGTTCATTATGGTCTTGGCAAGTTATATAAATGTCTACCGTAATTAATAATTTATATAACATTCAAGGCGTTGAGAAAGATCTGCAATAGACAGATTTAGCTCTTACATAATGTATCTTTAAGTTCAAAAATAGAAACCCAGAATACAAATTAACCCACAGACATGCATGAAATTTGGATGAGAAAATTGATGTTTTAAGTTTCATTTTATGAGTCAGGACCTACATGTTTTTAAAAACTGTTTGGATAACTTCATTAGACTAGTAATAACATAACAATATACTTTGAATGTCAGATTTGTGAAATTTTCTTATAATTATTTTCTTGATGAAAGTGGTTATGATGTAAAAATGTATTTCTTTCTGAAGGTACAGTTTAAATTAGGCCTACCACATGGTTGATCCTTATTACTATTCCAACAGTTGATGTTATGTTATACTCTACATAATTCTTTTTTCAACTTGTCTTACCCAACTTATATTACCGGTATATCTGTTATATTAGAGAGAACAATATAAGCCACCAAATGACCAATGACAAAGAGTGTTGCCTGCTTGCACTGATCTGTGCATGAAATGGCGTTTTTTGCCTGGCGAAATAGCATCATTTAATTGGTATGACATCACATGCAAAGGCATTTCTATAGGTTGTAGCCATTGTCGGAGGCTTGATTATACATTGATAGTGAATCAAAAAGAATGTGCATGACATGTAATTCAAAAGTCAAATGACAGTACAGATTTAAAATAACATGAGTCACAATGAAGATGTGGCAGCCAATAATGATTGTTGGTTTATTGTTTCAGTTTCTGCATGTCTTGCTGGTCAAAGTTCTCCTTCTTGTGAATGTGAAGGGCAAGAATTTTGTTTTTAAAATAATTTCATTTAATAGTAATTGGGACTCACTTAGGAAATTAGATAGATTGTAGAATTAGTCACATTTCATAAACTTAGTTATAATTTTTTTTATTTAAGATTCTAAGATAATAACAATTGGAGATGTAGGAATTAAAATCCGGAATCCAAAGTATCCAGAACTTGTTCCTTCAAAATACTGTAAGTTATTTTCTTAAAAGTCTTCAGCAGTTAGCCAGTGTGTTCCTTTGATAGTTCCATTCATATACATTGACTACAAACAAGGAACAGTTTAGTTACTAAGGAAGATATTGTTCACACTCAATGTGATAGCAGGGCTGTGTTCAAAGTAAGTAACTCCAGAAAAATATTTTTCTTTAATGGATGTTTTGATGACTTTTAAAAAAATCTTTCTTCATTTTATTTTATTATTTCAGTACCAAAAGATGTACCTCAAGCAATATTAAGACATTTAAGATGGATAATGCAAAAGGTACTTTGATAAAATGCAGACATGTATCAATATATATCTCTGTGGAACATTTGTTTTATTTGGTTATATACATTTAATAACACTGGAGATATGGTATCGTTTAGAACGGGTATTTTGGTGCTGGAAAGTATGCATATAGTTTACTTTCAAAACATCGTTCGATAATAGAATTCTAAAAATGGTTTAATTAGTACTATGGCTTAGTTTAATGGCAATGGGTTTAGTTTCTCCGAGAGGCGTTTATAAATGGACATCCCATTGACTTATCGACAGCGTTTACTTATTAGATGAGCCGTTTACTTTCCCCGAGATACGAAGAAAAATCAACACACGGTTAATTTATCTACGGCGTTAAACTATTAGATGAACCTTTTAAATTCCCGCTAGCCGTTTATCCGATTGGTTCATTTTGATTACGATTATTTACATATGAAGTACGAATAAAAAAGGTGAATGTAAAAAATGGTCGTAGTATTATTGTCCCCCGCCTTTCAAAGAAAGCAGGGGACTATTAAAATGGGTCTGTCTGTCTGTCTGTCTGTCTCTAAAAAAGGTGAATGTAAAAAATGCACACCCATAGATGATCACCTTACCATGGTCGTAGTATTATTGTCCCCCGCCTTTCAAAGAAAGCAGGGGACTATTAAAATGTGTCTGTCTGTCTGTCTGTCTGTCTGTCTGTCTGTCTGTCTGTCTGTCTGTCTGTCTGTCTGTCTGTCTGTCTGTCCGTCCGTCCGTCCGTCCGTCCGTCCGTCCGTCCGTCCGTCCGTCCGTCCGTCCGTCCGTCCGTCCGTCCGTCACACTTTTTGGGACACAATAACTCTCCTTCTAATTGTTTATTAGGTCAATGCCTTGATGGAGTTCAAAGATGAGCATTTTCTGCTTAGGGTAAGTAGAGATAAGCAATTTGATTGGTTGATGCTTTGGGATACAACAACTTTAGTTCTACTTAAGTGAAAGTAATGAAACTTGGTGTATAGTTTCGTTATTCTCCTTCTAATTGACCTGAATGTTCAAACATGGTGTAGGTGTTTATTAGGTCAATGCCTTGATGGAGTTCGAAGATGAGCATTTTCTGCTTAGGGCAAGTAGAGATAAGCAATTTGGTTGGTTGATGCTTTGGGATAGGATAACTTTAGTTCTACTTAAGTGAAAGTAATGAAACTTGGTTTATAGTTTTATTACATCAATACCTTGACTAAGTTCGATAATGAGCATTTTTTGCTCAGGGTAAGCAGAGCGATAAGCAATTTGATTGGCCGAGACTTTGGAACACAATAAATCTCATTCTAATTGAGGGAGAATGTTCAAACTTGGTGTAGGTGTTTATTAGGTCAATTCCTTGATGGAGTGTGAAGATGAGCATTTTCTGCTTAGGGTAAGCCGAGATAAGCAATTTGATTGGTTGATGCTTTGGGACACGATAACTTTAGTTCTAATTAAGTGAGAGTGATGTAACTTGGTGTTTCATTACATCAATACCTTGACTAAGTTCGATGATGAGAATTTTCTGCTTAGGCTAAGGAGCAATAAGCATTTTGATTGGTCAAGACTTTGGAACATAACAACTCTACTTCTAATTGAGGTAGTATGTTTAAACTTGATGTAGATGTTCTTCTTGACTGAGTTCAATGATTAACATATCGAGCTAAAGCTGAGCAGAGATAAGCAATTTCCTTGGTCGATGCTTTGGGACATGATAGAGAGTGATGAAAATTAGTGTATAGTTGGAAATCGGTAAATCACGTCCCAGGTATACACTTGAAAATCAGTAAATCACGTCCCAGGTAATTATACAATTTGAAATCGGTAAATAACATCCCAAGTAATGTATCTTTTTTAAATCACGAATGAATTAACATAGTCTTCCATCTGTACACGTGGCAAGAAGTCAACCATCCCAAACTTAGGCTGCCTATCTACAGCTAGCTCCGGCTGAGAATAGGCCCTAAGCTAATTAACCGACATTTAAATTCCTACATCGACGATTTTAGTCGAAAACACTGAGTATGCTTTTAGAAATTTTTAAAAGTATTTATTTCTCTTCTATTGTCATATTGAATGGAATTAAATATGTTTATTTAGCCGCTGTGTGTATGAAAGATGTCAAACTAATCAAAGCCGAATCACAAAATAGTCCTCTAATTATTCAATATGGCAGCGCCCATGAAACATAATTTCACAGAGGCGGTTTTGTTTGCGAAAACAAATTTAGGAGTATCTAACCTTGTTTTGAAAGATAAACAGATTGAAACTCTAAAGACAGTTTACAATGGTAAAGAGTTTATTGCAATATTACCCATAGTAGGGTGACCCACCATAAATAAATATCTCAATATATCTCGACAATTACGCCACAATATTTATATATATGCCAAGCCTCAAATCAGTTTCACACAATTATAGTCACTAAATAAACGATCATGTTGTACTTAATAAGCTGTGACCATTAATCATGTATAGATAATAGAATGAAAATCTGGTTCCATGAGTCGTCCATAACATCCAGACACTTTTGAGTAAAAGATAGGTTACGTGCCCTTGTTTTGAAATTAGTCTCGCTTAACCAGTCTATCGACCATTCTACGTCTGATTGACAGGTCGGGATAATCAAGACTACTTTTTTACGAAACATAACAGAAAGCTAGAACAAGAAATTGAATTTAGAAATAAGCACGTTAGGTAGCTCAACAATCGTTTTAAGAAGCTTGTAAAAGTAAAATGAAACTACTGCTAGTATCATGTTCCTGTCTAACCCGAGTGATTCAGAGATATTATTTGTACTAAACCAAAAGATGCCGCTCTTAATGAACAGTTAATGATAAATCGATTTAAAAAATGAAACAAACGTAATTTCTAAATCTGCTGTAATAACCAAGAAGCTTAATTTTACGGCTATTCAAAATCGTCAACAATAAATTTTTTACGGCTGTAATAGTTGATAGATTTGTAGAGAATTGCACGTGCCATGGCTATTTATAGTATCATACTGTCAGAAAGTTGGTCTCGGCACGGCGAATGTGCACGCTTCAGTGGTAGTCTCGAACTATCAGCGGTGGACTGTATTTCTGTGAGTACATGGGTCACCTTACCCATAGCACATATTATATATCGCTTTTACGCGAGTGTCAGCGACATGCCGTGTTTACATAAAACACACGTGCGTGGGTTATTTTTACTTTGTTGTCTAAACAAAGCGGTGTCCAATCGATAAGTCCCGCCCCAAAATGATCACATGATCGTTTTAAATGGCGGATAATCAGTGCAGTGTCACATTCTGGGAAGTATGACGTAGATGGGTCGCTGCGTGCAGTATGGAAGTCAACATCACAATGGCAGTTCGATAATCTCGCGAGACTGTTACACTGTCGATCTCTATAGACAAGCTGTCGCCCATTTTCAGAGAGGATTATCAGATTGGCTTCAAGCAGGAACTAGGCTTCAATGATGTTACGTAATCACTTGATTGGTGGCAATAAAATACAGAACAACGATTTGTTATACCTGAATCAAATGATATTGCATTAAATCAACATTTACACTGTCCTACTTGTATCTATGGTATTATAAAATAATGTGTGTTGGGGAGGTCAGAACGAGGATCGGGCACAGGTGTTACATTTTGGTACTGATTCAAAATCCACATTCCCGAAAAAGAAAAGGGTTTATAAATATAACAGAACATATATTTAGCTATGATAATCTAATAATAAAAACCAGTTGTATGCATTTATATGTATGTACACTAAACACTAAATACTAAAAACAATCACAAATAACAGCATGAATACTAAAAACACAACACTGGAAAACAATAACTGGTTTATAAATAAAGAAATAGCAGCATGCACAAAAAGATATCAAAATTGGAAAACAATCAACGGATTTATTTATAATTTAATAACAAAAAGCAAATTGTATGTATTGATAATGTAAATGAACCATTGAAATCCTATACCACAGTCTGTTAAAATTGTTAACAAAAATCTGTGTCTTTAAAAATCTTCCGCTCAATCAAAATTCAGAGCCATACCAAACTATTTTAGTATTAAAAATAAACGCAACTTTTATGTTGTGAAAGTCGTCTTTTAACTACGATTATCATATTATTTGTGAAATAGCTTTATTTAACGTCTGCTTCCACCGAGGTGATATCACAGACAATTATCATATTAGTCACTTACCGATTTCCAATTGTATAATTACCTGGTTTACCGAATTTTGATGTATTTGTCAATGGTGGAATACTAATTTTAAAGGATAATGGATAATAAATAATACTACGACCACGGTAAGATGATTATCTATGGGTTCATCTAATAGTTCAACGCCGTAGATAGATTAACCGTGTGTTGATTTTTCATCGTATCATGGGAAAGTAAATGGCTTGTCTAATAAGTAAACGCCGTAGATAAGTCAACGGATCGTCCATTTATGAATGCCTCTCGTTGAAACTAAATCTGTTACCATTAAACTAAGCCATAGTACAAACTAAACCATTTTTGAAATTCTTAAACGATTTTTATCAATTATCGAACAATGTTTTGAAAGTAAACTATATGCATACTTTCCAGCGCCAAAAACCCTGTTCTAGACGATACCATATCTCCAGTGTAAGTTACTGTATTATTTCCAGCCTTAAATGATCACTGTGATGTACTTTTTATATGCCCCGTCCGTCCGTCCAGCGATCTGTCCATCTCGGGGTCAGAGGCTAAAGTTAATATCACATTGACTTTAAATTTATACACAGTGTTTAAGGTCTTGAGACGAAGAAGCCTATTGATTTTCAGCGATTTCCGATAATTACTGCCAGAGTTATGGCCCTTGATCACTTTGAATAATCTTGTGGACGCTCTAGAGGCCAAAGTTAATATCCAATTGACCTTAAATTTATACACAGTGTTTGAGGTCATGAGACGAAGAAGCCTAGTGATTTTCAACGATTTCGGATAATTACTGCTAGAGTTATGGCCCTTGATCACTTCAAAAAATCTTCT